CCCGACCCCTAATAAATTGTGAATGCCCTTTAGGAAATTTGAATCAACAATTCTGATGAAACAACGATAGGTAATATGTACTTAAGCTGAATTTGAAACAATTCAGTGTCTTGAAATGCATTCAGGGTGCTAAAGAATAAATATGTTCATTATAGATTTTTAGATGTTTTACTTTTCGTAATGATTTTGTAGAAATTGTCATTGGATATGTATTTGTCAGAATATTTTCAGGAATATCTACTCAAATTAAAAGCACATAAATAGACAAATATTTTCTAATTAGTTTCATATTAGTCTTTGAATATAAACATTTTCTCTTATACATATTATGGTAATAAAATTAGTGCTTACTTTTTCTGAGTTTAATTTGTTTAGGGATTAAAAATTTATTTATCAGGTAAAGTTGAAGGAGATGAACAACTTTCAAGGCTCTTTCAACTGTCTGATTTTGTGATTGACTTCCTTATAACTTTAATTGTGCCTCAGATCTTTGTGGTGGAGCCTTTCTAGCATATTACTGTGATTTTAAGATTTTGAATGAAAACAAAATGGTGAGAAAGAAGATTCTGACTTTCTCTTAACTGTATACAACATAAAATGTATACTATCGTAATGTTTAGCTTTAAAAATAATAATCTGTTGGTGTTTGATTTTAAGGAGAAAATTGAAAGTGAAACAAAATTAAACTTTTTTTATTTTTACTTTTTAGCTCGACAGCTGGTCATTTCTACAAACATTTAATTATTCGTTATACCCAATAACTTTCCCAAGTGAGAATGCAGCAGAGTGGAAAAAGCTCTTTAAACCATGTGCTTCCCAGAGATTGTTCTTGCCAGTAAGTTTTCCCCCCAGTGGTTTTTTGTGGTTTTTTTTTGACTCTTACTCTTACACACATGAATTAATGAAGAGTTGCGTTTAAATCATTAAGTAAATACACATGTATGATTTTTTTCCTTTGAACAAAAACATAAGGAAAACAAACATTTTCATGGAACAGATAAAAGTTACAAAAAAACCCTCTGTTAAAATGAAAAATGTAAGTAATTTCTATGGAAATACTATTTTTTACATTTTAATTTATTCAGTGCTATAAACTGTTATATCTCTAAGAAGAAGTGGAGGTCGTCAAATTTTAACAGAGCTCAGCCTGTTACCAGCAGAAATGCTGTGGTAGTATCACCTTCAAGTTGCAGACTTCATCTATAATTTGGGAAATGAAGTAGATTGCATCATTAGGTAACCATTTTTGTCTTATACCAAGCCAATTTACCTTTTCTAATTGATATTTTAACACAAAAAAACCTTAAGGCATGTAAACTCAAAAGAACATGGAGCTGTTGTTTGATATTGTCCTCTGTCAATAAACCTTATTATTTTTTTAATTTAAAAATATTCAGAAGCAAGGTTACCTCTTTCATTTTGAATTGGTTTCACTCACAGTTTTCAAATCCACAGTAGTTAAATTAGGACCACTATAATGTTTAAAATAGTTATGGCAATAGAAATACTGAATTTAAGAGGCTTACAAGTTTCTGGAAAGTATATGAATTATGGGGAAGAAACTTCAGTTACTTGTTACTATTAAGTGGGTTAAGGCAATTCTTAGCACATTAAGAACATAGTGTACTGAATCCAGGATGTCAATAAGATTTAAAGTTATGATTTTGATAGCTGAGTCTTCCTAACCAGTGTCTTTGTTGCTGTGCATAAAAAATTTGGATCCTAGGATCTTTCTCAGTTTCCACTTCCACTGTAAGAAGCACACAAATAAGGAATTAAGATGGAAAAAAGCCTAAGAAGTTTTAGGTACTTCATGTAGGCTTGATACATTAAAAAAAAAATTTTTATGTTGCATTATTGCAGTATCACATTCATTTAATTAATAATTTGAGTGCCTATTTTTTTTTTTTTTAAATATATCCTTATTGATTTCAGAGAGAGGAAGGGAGAAGGAGAGAGAGAGAAACATCTATGATGAGACAGTCATCACTGATTGGCTGCTTCCTGCATGCGCCCAACTGGGGATTGAGCCCACAACCCGGGCATGTGCCCTGACCGGGAATCGAACCGCTTTCTTCTGGATCCCAGGTCAATGCTCAACTGCTGATCCATGCCCGGCTGGGCTGAGTACCTTTTTTTTTTTTTTTTTT